CAATCCCAGTCTTATGACATAAAAACGTTTACAGGGAACGCCGTGCTTGCTTAAAGAATTTCAACTCAATGACCAGATATGTGGAACCCCCCCCCACACACACACACACACAATCCTACAAAAGCACCACTTTCAATTGTGTCTCAACCAGAAACAAGTGATTCAGCATGAAGAAGCATAAAATATGAGATATTTACTATACTTATAGTCCACTAAGAGCAAAAAAATGTCGAACAAAGCGACCGAAAAGGTTGTGTATATATACAGGGAGTGAAAATACACTCAGAGTACTTTGTTTGTGATGAAGAACAGAGACAGTTCAGCAAGTACAGCGACCTTGTAAAAGCTTATGTAAGCTTTATCTCTGACTTTTCTTTGGTAATTCTAGCTCACAACAGTGACGTCTAAATGCATTTATTCCATCCGACAAACACCTTCACATCACGCTTGGAGGTCTGTGCAATTAAACGTTCCCTCAGGGAGAGTGATGGTCTGATTTCAATAGGTTTGATGACACTTTTCTGCATGAATCAATAGCAGATGGGAGATCAGCTTGTAGTGCTTTAAATCAAGATCTTGACCCTGCAATGTAAACAAGACGTTCAACCAAAGTCTCTTTTTAAATCCGCTATCATGCCTTCCGATGGAAAAAGAAAAGAGGACGGCCTTTTACATTGAGCTATTTTTGTTGAATAATAGCGTCACATGATATTGCATATAAGAGGCCCCTCTTTAACCAGAATAAATGATAGAACTTCCTTTTCTGTGTTTTTCTCCGGAAAGCAACCTTCCTTCCTTGTTCTTTAATTGACAGCTAATTCAGTTATTAAAAAAACAAAAACCACGGGAGGGAAAGGTTAATGTGGTATTGCTGTACGCAGACACCCAGTAAATTAGCCTTTATTTGATCCCACGTCAGGCCGTAATGCCCTGCGTGTTGACTCCGCTGTCAGGCCGCCAGCGATCGAGGACCAATGGGAGCTTTCTGCTGCCGCAGCCGCTTCCAGCAGCCGCGGGTCCAAAGCTCCATCACGCCAGTGGGGTTGGAGGAGAGAGGGCCAACGACAACAACAAATATATTTTCATTTAGGCTGCAGCCATATTCCTCTCGGGAGAAGGGGGTGAAGGACGCTGGTGGGGGGGGGGGAGGTGTGGAAAGCTGAGGAGAGAAGGGAGAACCGACATGGATCAAGAGAAGCAGGAATGAGGAGATAAAAAAAATATATAGTAAGGGAGGAGAAGAGACTCATTTTGAGATTGTGTCTGCTCTAACTCAGGCTCTGGAAAGTGTTTCATAGTTTTATCAAGCCTGTCTGAAATAGTTTTACTAAGTACATGCTTACAGTTTTGTTTCCATCCCCATTAATCAAATAAACATGTAACATATTCAACATCAAGCTCTGCTAACTTTTCCTGAATATTTCTGCAGGCTTTTTTTCCTCCCTGTTTCGTTTTATTTCTGTCTTACCCTCCCCGTCCTAAATCTCCTCACTCTTCTTTTTCTGAATCGATAAACAGAGGCCTCACCTCAGTGCAGGCCAAGGCAAATGTTTGAGCCACCTGTTGTAGGAAACTTGAAGCCCTCAGGAGATGTGAAGATGGAGCTGGAGCTCAGGCCGCGCTCCAGGTCGCCCCTCAACCAGTACAGGAAGGGCAACGGAAAATGCAAAGCGTGCGTGTGCGTGCGTGTGCGTGTGTGTGTGTGTGTGTGTGTGTGTGTCAACGCACAGGCAGGGGGTGAACTACCTGATGTGAGGGTTTGTGTGTGTTACAATTTGTGTGTGTGTGTGTGTGTGTGTGAGAGATGAGACATTTTCAAATTAGATGCTGGGATCCTTATTTCTATATTTAAACAGACAATTAATAAAGAAAAATTGTATTCTCTTATTTACGTCTTTTTTAAGTTTAATTACTAGTCCCAAGAACATTTTACAAATTGTACTCATCCCCTTCTCATCACGTTAATGATCACCACTCAAGGGATGAGAGGGATCCTTCTCTCATTCTCCCATTTGTGTCGGGTTTGGGTGGGTATATGTGTGCTTTTGTTTTGTCATCTGCTAACTCATGGTTGACCTTAAAGCAGCGAGACGTTTATTCGCTTCATCTGTTTTTTGGACCGCTGACAGTAAATCTTTTCTCGCTAGAAATGTCTGATTGATTTGCTTCTGTCTTTAACAGTGTTGATTGGAGCAGTGAGATTTGAATTAACCTTTGGGCTATGCAACCAAAACAGTGAAACGTGGAAGGCTAAACAGTCGTTTTTAGCTTGAGACTTTTGTAATGCGTCTCTGTGGGTTTGTCCGTACACAGCACAAGCCCTTCAGTTGAGTTAACACTTAGTGATTCATTGCTTTTATGCCACCTATTCATTACGTTCCATGCAAGGAATAAATGTGTTATTGGAGAGAAAGCGAGACGATGTCAAAAGTTAAGCAACAAAGGACTAAATGATTTTTATTTTTTTTTTAAACTGGAAAGTTCAGTAAAAGGAGCTGGACATGCAAGTAGGAGGAGGACTCCTGCTTCACCTCCTCGGTTCCAGGAACTCCCTTGGTCTGCTTCCAATGATTCCCCCCGAGCCCCTTTGCCCCCCCCCCGACCCTCTTTACCTCTGCAAATACCCGTTTAAACCACCCCCCCAACCCTCCAAACCTCTGGCAACTCCTTTAATAGCCCCCCCATCACCCCTTCTTCCTCCCAGCCCCCCCTCCTTTCAGCCTTCGGCATCCCGTCCTCACTGCTGCCCTTTCAGCAAACAACTCCCCTCCTCCCTTTCTTTCTGCCCCCCCCCTCTCCGTTTGACTGCCGTAAATGCCCCCAGGACTATACGGTCCTTTCAGTTGTTCACCTCTTCTCCAAACCCACACGTCTTTCTCTAATTCAGAGCTTGCAAACTCTCCACGCCCCCCCCCCCCCTCCCTCCTGCCCCCCCTCCTGCCCCACTCCCCGGGAAGTAAAATATTCACAGCTGCTGCTGCGGTCGGGTCGCACGGCCACAAGACTCTCTGAGCAAACAGCGGAGCTGTGAACGTGTGAAGCCAATGGTGTACGTTTCATTTGAGGTCCGACACAGGTCCGATAGATCCCGATGTAGTCAAAACAGAAACCGCATACTGAGCCTCGCCACATGCCTCAACAAACCAAACACTAACCAAACACACCCAAGCACAACACTAAAAAATGACATTGGCAAACAGCTTTTAGTAACATGTTGGGCACGCTGCAGAAACAGGAGAAATGATGCCTGGCTGGGTGCCGCTGAGCAGACTAACTCAGATGTCATTGGGTGGATAATCAGTGTGAAACATCTGTCTTGGATAAATGCCCTTGCTTTTAAAAAGCAAGAGCACATTGACTCATGTTAAAGTCGCCATGAAAAAACATCAAGGTATTCCAAGAGGTCTACACATGGTTTACTGAATGGGGTCTTCAGTCCAAATTCCCCCGAATGAACAAATTTGTCTCAATAACTGTTATCTGTCCAAGTTCTAAAAAGGACCCGAACGGGAAATGTTGGTCTTGGGGTCTCTGAAGTTGTACCACCAGATAATAAAAAAGAAATCTCAGCGTAGGAATGCCAGCCCTTGAACTTTATGAGGGAGGGAGATTGGGGTGGTGTGGGGGGGGGGGGGGATCAGGGTAATTGTACATGATACGTCGTTTACAGAACACCCAAGTAATCATATAAACAAAGGACTAGATGCCCTGGGAGGATGAAAGGAAATCCAAAATCTCCCTCTGATGCATCATACTTACTCAGGTTTGACATGAGAGTTAAGAACTGAGGGCTCCTGAGACCCAAAAAGAGGATCTAGAACCTTTTTGTAGTAAACACAGCAGGATGGACGGACTCTGGAGGACTCCACCTTCTCACACACACACACACACACACACACACACACACAGGAACAGATGGCAGAGAGTTGAAGGTGATGGATGCAATGTTACAATTGCCGAAGCCCTGTGTGTGTGTGTGTGTGTGTGTGTGTGTGTGTGTGTGTGTGTGTGTGTGATAACCTTGCTCTAGGTCTGATCTCGCTAAATGCTGGAATCTGAACTTCACCAAGACGTGACAAAAGTTTAAAAAACAAGGGGGCGAAAAAAAAAAGGGAATGCAGCGCTGGAGGAAACTGCAGTTCCAGGACACTAGAAAGGGAGTTTGAGAAAAGAAGAGGGAAAGCGAGGGAGGAATAAAGAAAACATGACATCATATTTAATTGGAATCAGGTGATAAACAAGGGAGTAATATTTACGTTACACCATATGCCGTGTTCCCTGTGTCTTTCTGCCTCTGGGGGGGCACAGCAACAGGTTTCACACAAGTCAGGTCAAGGAGGAGGCTTTTCCCAGCTGTTGGACCACACTGATGCGCACATCGCTTTGCCCAGCTGCCTGTGTGTGTTTGTGTGTGTGTGTGTGTGTGTGTGAGTGTGTGTGTGTGTGTGTGTGTGTGTGTGTGTGTGTGTGTGTGTGTGTGTGTGTGTGTGTGTGTCAGCCATTCCTAAAGCCTGTTTTGTCTTTGTTGTTATCACATAAAAGACGGTGTTTATCCTCCTGGGAGCCATGTTTGCCAGGTGTACTTGTAAGAGGAGCGGTCTTTGCGGCGAGAAAATGAAAAGCTCTGAACTCCTCAACCAGGTCGTCTGCGGGGGGACTTTCAAGAAATATAATTTCTTACAGATTTCAGATTCACGTCTTGGTTTTTGAAAGTATTCATCGACTTTCTCAGTTTGTTATAGACTGATTTTCTAGATGTAGACGATTATTATTAGAATATTTGAGCTCAGATCATTCTTGACTTTGAAAAACCAAAGGTCCGTCTGCCATCTGAAATCCTCAGGAAAAGCTAGAATATTTAGTGAATATATATTTAGTTTATTAATAATATAAATATCATATTTAGTTTATTTGTCAATTTATCTCTTTACTGTCCAATTACAATGTCATCAACCAACAATTGAACTGTCAATAAAAAAAAAGATTGAGTATCAAACCGCTTAAAGACAAATATATTTTATATATTTATTCAGGTTTAAATGATAGGTATTCAATAGACAAGCATAAATGGTAAAAAAAAAAAAAAGACAAAGTTCATCCTTTTTTCTGTTTTTGTTCTTATTTGTTAAATAATACACTAAATAAATAAATTTAAAGAAATATGATGGTGTTAGACTTGCTGTTGTGATGTTGCTTCTTAACTATTATTTTAATTTCTGGGCTTTTTATTCTTTCCTCCTGCTCTTCTGTCAGTCAGCTTTCTATCTGTACTTCTTCTTTCCTTTCATCTCTCACATCTTTCTGTCATTTAGTTTCATCCCCATCACACAAATTACATGTACACAAATCTAGAAATGTGAGTTACTAATCACATTTGGCACAGAAGTCATTTCTTTTCATATTTTCTACTGTGACAATGTACATGATAACTTAAAACTGAAAATAATTGTAAGGCAATATATTTTATTTCTTTCTTTCAATATAGAAACGTCTTTTATCCAACCGAGATAAATATGTCCGTAGGTTTCCGTTGCGTTCCTCCTCAGTGCATCATTCAGATCTGATTCAGATCTGTAGAATGTAGCCGTCGCCGTAAATCCCCAAAGGTCCGGCGGCCTGCGCGGAGCGGAGCTCCCTCTCAATACGTCCGTTCACCGCGGTTGTACCACGATGGGCAGGAAGTGAGTGGCAGTGTTTTTCCTACGAGTCTTCTTCCCCCTCATCGGCTTGCCGTTGGCATTCAGTCCCACAAACATGTGCTTTTTCTTGTTGCGCCACTCTGCTGAAGCGTAGGTGTTGTACTTGTTCTCCTCGATGCGTTCGATCAGGCGGCAGTCCGGACCAAAGTCCCTCTGAAGGTGGGGAGAAGATGCAAAGAGTGTAAATGTCAGATTGAAAGACCTGAAACCATTAAATTACTACTGCTGAGTCCAGTGTGTAGTGGGCTTTTTATTTTTCTTGTATGAATAAACCTAATATCCTTTTTACTGTAGACTTTTAAATGCGTAATCAATCATTCTAAATAAACATTTGGTGCGTCGATTTCATATCCAGCATGTCCCAAATCAGATGGTTATTTTAACGTACAGCTGTCGTTGCTCAGACTGTTTGCTTGTAAAATGTATTCATCCAACAACTTGATGGAGCCCAATCTTCACTCAATAAGGATCTTCTCCCCGTCCAATTTTTATTGTCCTCAGTTCCTCTTCTGAATCCTTCGGCTTCATTGTGAGGAGTTCTATTATTACTCATAGTTTGATGATGTTGTTCTGAGCACAGATACAGTGAGATATATTTCTTCTAACGGCAGCATGAGCCAACAAACAAACAAAGTCTGTGGTTCTGCACAATTGTCAGTGTGATCAAACGGATAACACAAATTGTACACGGAGCTCTGTGTGCGTGATGATGTTTGTGTGCCGGTGGAGAGGGTGATGGGGGAGCGAGAGGTGAGCGTGACGTCTCAAAGGTTCGGGCCGCGTGCCAGCGAAGGGCATCGGGACTCTGTGTTTGTGGCTTTTGTTGCTGCAGTGACCACCCACTGCGGAATAAAGAGAAAATGATCTGAGCGAGCAGCGTTTGTCAGTTTACCGGAAGCTGCCCTTGTGCTTAAGTCTAACGTTGCTTAAACAGCCTGTTCACTTGTTGTTCGTAAGCAAAAATGTGTGTGTGTCTGTTTTGCTGGCTTCAGGATTTTAAAAGTGGCTACGAATTAAGTGACATCAAATGATGATAATGACATTTCGGGCCTTTTTTTTTTTTTATTGCAGAATTCTCTAGAAATTGAATTATGTCAAAACCTTAAGGCCATCATAATCCTTTCGTGTGCCCTGTGAGTGTTGTTCTGTCGATGTAATGAAACAAAGATTTCATTTGATCACCAGCGGATAAAGAAGTCACTGTGCAAACCCGCGGAGTGTAATCGAGCGCCAGCCCCTCGCCGGCGTGCCACCAGGGCTTCTGTTGCACCGGGCAGAAGACGTCATGGGAATTCAGTTTCAATCCACGCAACAGAATGCTTCTCTGTCTCTTTCCGCCGTGTGTCATTTCATCTGCGGCGCGGCTCCCAGAGAGACGCGCCGAGAGTTCGGGCTCTTTTCAAAAGCGAGCGAATGAGATGAAGGGAAGAAGGGAGAGGGGTGAGGGTGGGGGGGTGGGGGGGGACAACGGATGAAACGAGGGCTGCCCTCCCCAAAGGGACTGAAGGAGAGTTGATAAACGGAGGGATTGGGTTTCCAGTTTGTGAATGGAGCGGTGGGCAGCAGGGAGGAGAGCTCTCATTGACTCACCGTGGTTCCTGTTTCTAGAATAGACAGTCTCGTCCATTGTTTTAAAAAGCTTTTAAAGGGGAAGTCGAAAGCAGCAGGGTCGCCCGTTTCGAGGAGAAAAGTCGATTTGCAGAGGCAATAATTCAATAATATCCACACATGTGTTTCATACCACAGCGGCAGTTAAGACTGCATTGGTGTTTGACACCGAACGCCTTGAAGAAGAGGAGGTCCTGCCGTGACAAGTGATCAAAACGGGCCCGTGCTGGTGAAAAGGGTACCGAGGCAGCTACTCACCGCTCCGTACAGCTCGCCCTTCTTGCTGATTGCCAGGTAGTAGTTACTGCTGAGGCCCCTGATGGCCACGACTCCCACGTCCACTGACTTGATCTCCAACATACCTAGTGCGGTGGGGACAGAGAGACGGACGAGTGAGAACTCTACATTCTTTCAGTTCTGTTGATTTCACATTTTGGTCGTAAGTGATGTTTGTTTGGTGGTTTGGATTCAGATGTTAGTTGTATAATGAATCCTGTGTCATAATGAATGAAAATACTTTTGCTGTCAGCTATTCGATTAACTGACTAAACCCTTTGAGCACGAGTGCTGCAGTTTGTTCACTTCCTGCGAGTGTTTGCTGCGTGTTTTGTTGTTACCAAGAAAGTAAAGTGAGGAGGGCTTGAAGATCAAGAGAGTTTCCCGCATTGGCATCGATTTCAAATGTTAAGAGGGTATTTTTTAATTCATGGTTTCAGGTCAGCATGCTTCGCTCTTAATCAGGTCCCATAATGCTGTAAAACGCTTACAACTACTGCATACGCATGCAACCACTGCAAATACTGCAGGAGAAACCGGAATCATCTCAGTTTCATTTGCACAAGTGAACCCCAGTCTCTCTTTTTTTCTCCTCACTCTGACAGTCAGACCTCAGACCGGCCCTCCTGCCCGCGGTTCATTTGCTGGTTACCTTGTGGCCTGCGTGCCTTGGGACCGAGGTGTAAGCCAGGAAAAAAACATTTCTCCGTCCCATGTTTGTTTTTCTGACCAGGGGAGCCCAGGCGGGCGGGGCTCGCGGACGGGACGGAGAGAGGCCTTCTGGCTGCCAGACTGGCACCGGGTCAAGGCGTCCGTATCGGCTTTCAAGCATAAAACAATTACTGGTTTAAGCTGCGGTCGCCGGGCCTTTCTTCTTCCTTCCTCAAGCCAGTTACGCCGAGCCGTAAAACTACCGGGGGTTTGAGAGGATTAGCTAAAGGGGCCACTGAGAAGTGGAGTGTGGTCGCAGGAAGAGTTGCAAAGACGAAGAGCGAGACGGGGAGAGAAAAGCGAGCATCAACTACGGTGTAATATTGTCTGTCTTGGGATTTTAAAGGGAGAGTCTTAGACAGCTTCTTGAGTTGTGTTTTATGGACAAGCTTATGTGATAGAAGGCCAAAAATCCATTTGATTTGTTTCGCCATTAAAGGGTGAATTGGCCAGATAGACAGTAGTGTACTCTATAAAAGACTCACGATGGACTCAACTTCAGGCCAGAAATTGTCTTCGTAATGTTTTTGTGTATGAGTTCTTTCTGAATGTTGCACATTTTGTACAGCTTTGCACGGGCAGTTAAACCAGTCACCTCAAAAACGATTTACCAAATAATAAAAATATCAGAATATAGGCGAGATGAAGGGTTAAGATCAAGCTTATGTCCGTCTAATTAGATATAAAGCAGCTTTCTCACCAGATGCCCCCTTCGCTGCCCTCTTTCCTAAGTCTTTGTCTCTTAATGGAGTCATACATTGCTGTTAAATATTTAAATATGTAACTGTTGTCCGCCGTTGTCTTCATATTATCATCATGAGACCAGTGGGAGGCCATTTTGCGGTTGGAAATGTACAAAATTGGCATCAAACGAAGCTGATCTTCGGCAGTTACAAGCAATTTTCTTTTGTATGAGTGCAAATTGTTCTTGGCCTTATTTCCTTTTTTGTTAAATGTGACCTTTTGGCATCAATGCATCCCCAAGGTTCTTTTTTTGGTCAACAAAGGCTCGTTAAAACCTCTAAACTTTGGAAAAGGTTTCTGTGACTCAAAGTGCATCGCGTCCACCCGTTCCACAACGCGTATCTATCAGGTTAAGAATCCACAATAAGATCTGCTGCACTGAAGGTTTCTCCACCTGTTCAAACCTTTTCCCCTCCTCCCGTTTGGTGTGGTCTGTCAAAAAAAAAAGCACAGGACTCTTTTTATGTTACCAGAAGCAGCCCGTCTGCCTGCGAGTTAAAAGGCCCGTCTGCAACAAAAGCCTTGGATTGCAACAACAGAGTTTGTGGCACAGAGACGGAGAAAAACAGGACCTAAGCGTGAAAAACACACACACACGCTGAGGCAGTCATGCACTTACACTTACACAACTCTGGTGTAAGATCTCTCCCTCTAATAGCCACTGGACATCAGCCCATCTTAATCATGAATTCATGTTTTAAGTGCAGAGAAAAACAGTTTTGTAACACCAATGAAAGCACAAACCGCTCAGGGCTCAGTTAATATAAAAGGCATGACATTTTCCCCCATCAACATTTATTTTTTAATTTATTTGTTTAACTACCAAGGGCAAACACCTGCTTGCAGCAGGGCAACACAGCAACTTTCATAGAGCAAGCCAAAAGGGTCGTTGCCAGCCAAACACAAACTGTGACACTAACAGAGCTCTGAGTACAAATAAACACAACTTGGCCTCCTGACGGTAAGAAACGGTTCATTAACCACTTCATAAAGATCACCGTGTGGTGATGTTTAACTCCAATGTGACCGTGTCAAACCATTAACGTCGGTGGAAATCGTCGTCTTATAATGCCAAACAAACACACAGAGGATGTTTTATTTATTGTGTTTCTCAGAGGACGGCAATGACACCAGCAGATTAAATGTTACATTCATCTTTGTGTTTATGTCTGGTTCTCTCACTTCCTAACCACCACCTTCTATATTGCATTTTTTTCTCTCTCTCCTTAGGTCCTCGTCACTGTTTCCCAGTAAACCTTTACATTTAACATATAAGTATACGTTTACTGCAGCAGACGGTCTGGTTGTGTCCTTCTGGTAACACCTGAGTCAGCGATTCTCATTTGTCTGATGCATAATATGCTCACAGACGCACACAAACAGGAACACACACGCACTGCAGATCTTACTGTCGTACTGTCGACCCCCCCCCTGCTGTTGTTGAGACTCCAGCTGAACCTAAAGTTTCCACTGTTTATCCAGGGACTTTTTTGTAGGTTATACTACGGTTGTTCACAATTTGACCTGGACAAGGTGGCCATGTGTGAGTGTCCCTGCCGTGTCCCTGCTGTCCAGAGCTGTCTCACTCCGTATCGGGACGAATCACACCGGTGTCTCTAGTGACCTTCCCCTCAGCAAGATGCTTTGGTTCTTTTATCTTGGGTCAAAAACTCTAAGATATTTTGGGGGAACTCTGACCTTCCTGTGTTTTTTCATGCAGCTACTTATTGCATCCTTGCATCCAAGTGAAATATAAATGTGTCATCCAAGGAACAACATCACGAAGCAAACATCATGTTCAAGAGTTATCGGTTTTCCATTCCTCTTAAACTCGTGCATCAGAGTGACTAATTATGTCTCGTGTTTATTTTGACGCGATCAGGGTTCTGATTAGGGTTCTTTTTTATACCGGAAATAACAAATAAGAAGTAAATAATGCAGAAAGTTTCAGAAGAATGAACCACCAGCCTGCTTACGCATGTCAGCACACCAATCAATTCTCAGTTGTGCAGTTTGTTTGGTGTAAGCCGGTGAAGATGTTGTGTTGGGAGAAGAAACCTCTGCGTGTGTGTTATGCGCTGAGGTCTTGGTTTGGACTGATGTGGTTGACAACGGCATCGACCTGCACTAAGTGGCAACATCAAAGCCTGCATGGCCGACGGTTACGACCAACACTTAATAAACAAAGGCCTGCAGCGGATTTTAGCGGCAAAAATAAGGGCCGAATTTTTAAATGAGTTCTAGTCGTTTTAAATTTCTGGTTTATAAATGAATTAAACAAACATGCATGCATCCGTTTTACATCCAACACCTTTTGCACTGCGTAGAATGGGGTTCAATGTGTGTTTTTCATTATCAGGGTTGTTTGATTTGACCTGCACTCACTGCGTTTTTCATTTTATTCTCTCCCCCTTCATGGTTTTATTTCCTCTCCTGACCAGAACACTCACATCACTTGTCTTTTTCTTTTTTTTGTTGGACAGAAATAGCCGAAACCACACACTGTTCTTCAAGCTGTATGTGATTTCAAACCTGGCAGGAGAACGAAAAGAAAAACAAACCCAGATAATTCCAAAACGAGCCGACGGGATCACCTGAGCGCAAAAAGGACGCCAACAGGCCGCGTCTGTTATCTCGTCTTTGGCGCTGCGTCATTTCAGATCAGCAGGTGATGTCACACAAGTGTAAGAGCAGCTTGGAGCAAACCAGACGTAATGCGCAGTGATGTTCATGGTGATTTGATGGAGAAGAGAAAAAAAAATGTATATATATCCACCGTGGATTGTGATTCCTTGAACACGGCTCACTTTCTTACATGCAAAAGTACCAAAGATGCCAGTTTAGCAAAACGTCTCACAGGCCTCTCACGGAGGAAGTTGTGTTTTGAGGCAAAGCGCTGTGACGTTCGTCTGCATTTCGCACATTTTCAGTTCAGCTGCCAGCGAGATATTGCCCAACTGTTGTGGTCGGAGTTGATGGCGTTGGACTTTTAGCTTCAGGATTCTTGTTATTTTACAAAATAAAGAAATAGCAACGAATATTATTCAATATGACGCATGCGGTTTTCTGTCTCTGTTTGGTGCGTAATGCCTTTGTCTCTCTGCTCTCACGTCGAGTTCATTCTCACTCACACACACACACACACACACAAATACAGGATAATTAGCTGGCATTCCTGGCTGCTCTGTTCAAACGGCACAGGCTGTCCAGATGCCCCCCTGGTCTCAGCTCTACCTTTGATGACTCCATTAAGAGCCTCACTTTCATGCCGTGTGTGTGTGTCCGTGTGCATGCATGTGTGTGTAGCAGGGCTAGGGGTTAGTGAGAGAGTTTGTAGGAGCAGGAACGTGACGAGTACATGTGTGTATTTGGTGGAGGGACGGGGCTTCTTTCCCTGAAGCATATGGTGTGTGTATGGCAGCAGCTCTGGATGTCATCTGTCGCAGGTGCTGTTCTGCACCTCCCGCTGCTTTGCAGGCCACGCATTCTGCAGCCGGACATGGAAATGACACTTCTTTTCATTTTTGCATTTTTAATGCAATTGAGGCTGGGGATTGTTTGGGGTTTTCCAAGCGAAGTTTGTTTGAGGACTGTGGCTAACAGATGTTTTCTGGATTGGAGTCAGAATCAT